AAAACCCCAAAACCCCAAAACCCCAAAACCCCAAAACCCCTTTTAACTTTCTGTTTATTGAATAAAAATGAAGCATAAGCCGAGCAAGAGTCAAGTTCAAAATCTTCAAGAGTGTATTCTTTCGAAGAAAATCAAATTATTTCAAAGCAAAGAGAGAGAAAAATCATTCCATAAATTCACTAGTCAGTCTAACACAGATCTTATTACTAAAATTAAAGCTTGCATGGACTTACAGAAGCAGAAGAATAAGCCTAAAAATTCTAAAACTAGTAAATTTCAATTGCTCCCTGTGAAGCAATATTCGTTTTAAAAAAGGTCTTCTCGATTATACCCATACAAAGAATAAGCTCGGAGCAAGGAAATTAAAGAACAAGGATTTTAATCTAAAACTTCAAATGGGTAAATTTAAAAAGAGCTATACGAGCAAATAAATCTACTATCACTAATTATGAAAGATTATCGACCTCCCACACGATCAGCTTATCTCCGGCCAGAATGACCCAGAATAGTAAGGTTCAGACATAATCTGATCTAGTGAACGGCTTAGCTAAAATTAAGGATAATATCTTTGAAATAAAGCCAATCGAGACTATTAAATTTGATAGCCCAAATACTACAAGTACCTGCTTTAGCAAACTCAACAAATTCACTAAATCATATCGTACAGAGCTGTGGAAGTTCAAGTCTAGGGTAAATCTCTGTCAGAGTCCTGAAAAAGGCGGCTTCAAAGCAAAAAGAATGATACATTCTCAACAGAAATTGAAGCGGAGGCTTAACAAAACCATGGAGAGCGTTCAGTTTACAGGCTTGTATATCAGTAACACAAACAATACCAACAATTCTAAAATAATGATTAATGATTACGGTGCGAAGCAAGAGATGGGTAATACCAACCCTCTGAATACTCCTGAAGCATATAAACATAAAGCCAAAGAGGTCTGAAAGTATGAAGAGATCAACTCAAAATCCCAAGAAACCCTCAGCTATAACAGAGGTTGCATAAATACTGACCAAAGGATGACTTCAAGACTTGGATTGTGCAGTTCCCAGAGAAGGAATATCAAAATTGTCATAAAAAACCCAGTAGAGTCAGCCTAATTTACACAAATTTCAAAAATATATCTTCATGTTGGGGTTTTGGGGTTTTGGGGTTTTGGGGTTTTGGGG